TCTGTATATGTCATCCACTAACTGGAAGGCTGAAAGTTCCATCCCTGACTCCTAATGTCGACATATCAAAATATACTCTGGCATATTGAATCCCAAATTACCTCCAAAGTACCATGAGTATTTGTGTGAAAGTGACCTGTATTGCTTGAGTGGTCAATAAGACTATATAACACTATATAAATACACTCTGAAGCAGGGGCGGATCCAAGGATGCATGGCACCAGGACGCACTGGCACATAATGTGCTTGAACATGAACAATTTCTTAAATATATTAAATCATGTGTGTCTTTGCTCAAAGCTACTGAGCTAACAGTGCACAGCAAAGACTTAAATGTGCACCTTACTGAATCAGGTAGTTTGCATGGATTTTAGACATATAATTGGCCTCCATGTAAATTGTGGCCCCTTTACTGCCCTGCCCCTGCTCCACACTGATTTCTGAAATGTGTTCGGTTAACCATCAAATGAGACCAACACACCCAGAAAATCTTCCCAATCTCCCTCAAAGAATGACTCAGTTATCAATGTAGTTATTGATCAGTTGTCTGTCCATCAACTGATTTATTTCTTGACTAATTGTTGCAGCACTGCTTGTTGGAAAAACAACTTCTCCTTAAATATACTGCCACCAAAGGAAGCTCAACCACAACCTCATATCTGTGCAAAATATGCAAAATCATATGAATAGAACTAAATGCTCTTAGGCTCCAGAGATAAAGGATTTGCATATATTTTCTTTGACAAGGTTTGATTTTGACAGGATCACAGAATACTCCTCCACTTGGAGTGAGCGGTTCAATGTACAGACACAGAATCATCTGTGTCAGTTCTGAATTATTGGGCTTAATAAGCTCTTTGTTAATTAATCAATTGATGAAGATTATATATATTACCATTCAGTCTTTAACAGATGCAAAAATGTAGTTTCAATTGACTATTTTTACCTACTGTAACTGCTTTAGTTTCAGTTTATCTCATTCACCTATGTAATTGCAATAGAGCACATACTGTAGGTTCAGAAAACATTGAAAAAAATAAAATTTCAACATGTTGTTGATATGGTCTTTCAATACGTAGGTGCACACGTCAAAGAAACTTCTTTTTAGGGGCAACAATCTTAAATAAGAACCATATGAGCTGTTTGATACTGTAGCCTCTAATCCTGCCACTTCAGGTTTGGACAAGACCCTTTAAACAAACATCTTAGAGAAGATTTTAGGTTATTTTGCTCGGCCAAAGATCAGGTACAGATGTTTAGTTTAAAATGTTTAGTCTAAATGTTAACTGCATGAGTCTCTCCTCAACAAAAAGCCTCTGCAAAACTGCAGCAGCCTAAAAAGTTCCTTCGTAGTGGCGGCGACATGTGTGTCGGGGCTCTCATAAAGTCGGACCTGTGAGAAACTTTATGTGTTGAGTGACATCAGCAGTGCCATTAGTAGGAATATGGAGTGAATTAGGCAGGCATTGCAAAATATACAGAGAGTCTGCGGAAAGACGAGGCTTATGTCATCAGGGGCTTGTGTTTCTGCTCTCCACTCCCACTCATGTCGCCTCGCACTGACATCAAACAGATCTCAGCAGTACAGTTTGGGGAAAGTAGGATTCTGGTAACAATTATTTGCTCCTCACTATCTTGTTAAGTATGTTTATTACAGCGTTAAGGCCCAGCAGCTTACTTTGTTTCTACATGGATTAAACCTGGAGAAGAGATCTGGCAGCACTCAGGGTGTAATCTTGGATCATGACCTATACTTTTTTTTTTGTCGAAAATGCAGTGAAAATAGGAAAATTGAGGAGCTCAGAGGAGGCTTAGGGAGAAGAATAATGTGCAAAAAGCCCTGGAGTGCTGGTGAGAGAAACGGCAGCGGAAAGACGCAGGAAGACCAATATAGACAGAAATTGGAGGATGTGTTTTCTGGTCAGGAACCCATTGCTAAAATTAGTGAGGATGTAAATTCCTCAGCGTAGCCGGTTTTCAAATCCGCGCATGACACTGAGAGTTGCCAGGAGAACATAAAACAAAAAAAAGAAGAGGGAAGGCCGCGGTATAGGGAGAGGTCATACATGAACAGTGCCATGGTAATGTTTTCCTTCTTCCTTGTTTCTTTTTAAATTGACCTTCGCCCAGAGAACAAAGACATCTAACAGGCCACAAGAAGGAGGGAAGAAAGCCGTAGAAGCCACGGGCCCCCACACACAACAGTCCACGGGGGGAGGCTTCGGGCCCTGGACGCCAAGCCTTCAACACAATCACCACACATGATATTGTGGTTGCAGTAAAGCCCTGGTATGACTCAAATCTCTCAGCTAACCCCCCTCTGCCACCAGGCCTCACTCTCCCCCCTGCTCTCTCCCTGTCTCTCCATGCATCCCTGTCATTTACAGTCCAAATGACAAGACACAAACTTCCACACACTCAACCCCTGCAGAGCGAGGATAATCACGTTACAGCTGAAGGCAGGGGCCACAAACCGAATTCCTCCAGCAGTCTCTTTGGACGCACTCAGACGGGCATTTGCATAAATCCAAACAGCACAATCAGCAGCTGAACGGTGTGGCGCTGCTCCTCTTTTTCCGTCGTGGATGAAAGAGAGAGAAAGGGGAGGAAAAAAATCTACCACGCTGTGAAGCACTGAGGGGAATGGATGGATGGAGATGGAAAATAGTAGAAGGATTTTTTCGGTTTACAGTTGCCACACAAAGCCAGGACTATTTCGAGGCATCCTATTGGTTTAACAGAGGCAAGAACACACAGCCAGCTGGAAGTCAAGGACAAAGGCTCATGAGGGACTTAGCGGTAGATCCAAGTTCCCATACTCTGTCCACACTGGACTTTTTCTTGCTGCTTCCCTGTTGACCTACAGATTAATTCAATACCTAAATATTGACATTCTTCTTTCTGGTGCACAGCTCCTATCTAAGGAATGCATTTAGGGCTTTTGTCATTTGCATCAATCAGCCAAAGCTGATAATTTTCAAAATGCAAGGCGCCAGGGACTTCCTCACCACTGCAAGGTCAGGTGGGCGAGATAAGGCGAGGTGGAGTAAGTCAAGGTGAAGCACAACGTGTGTGGGGGGGCATGTTTGGAGGACTTCTCGTACCGTTACATTTTGTTAACTCTTTCATCCTCAGCAGGTGTGAGCTATGAAACATGAGAAGGTAACTGATGCAAAGCACCAACACAACATTTGACGCTGACATTTACCCACTGCTCCGCCTCCCCACTTCTCTGCTGACTCTGACCTCCATTAAAAAACTAACCCATAGGTCATTTGTGCAAGCAGCTGATTACAACCTATAATTTTTATTGTGATGTGACCTCTAACGCTTCTGCAAGACACCAACAGTCTTTTCTGTTTGTGAGCAGAGTTTTATGAACAGTCTATGTTGCAGAGTGAAGTTAGAAAACTTTGCGTTCATCCTACCTGGTTTATCTGCAATGAAGCTTTTATTGTCAATGTTTTTAATAAAATTAAACAGATTTGTTTTATTACTGTTCACATGTGTTTCGTATATATAAGTTTGAATGATTTACCTGACATAGTTTACTGTTTATAATTATGTGTTTCCCTTCAGACATTTTTACTTCTAAACTGAAAACCCACATGTTCACTTTTTAGTGTCTGTTGGTTGGTTTTTCAGCAGGATCACGCCAAAACTACTAAACAGATTTTAAGTGGACTGTTGGGCCTTGACAGCAATCTGGTTTTTGCAGCATTCTAGTTTTATTTTATTTTATTCTTGTACTTCTGTTACATTTCTTTATAATGCAACACTTCGATTACACTGTTTTTTTTATTGTGTTTTATAAATAAATTTAACTTGACTTGACTATAGCGAGCAGATTGGGTTGGAAGAATAGGTTGACCACCATTTGTTTGCTGTTTCAAACCAGCAGTCAGCCTATCCATGTTTAATATTATATTCATGACAACAACCATCTTCTAACTAAGTAAGCAAGTCCGTATTTAACCAGTTCAATCTATCACTGAACCTAGTTTTTGTGTGCATAAAAACTCACCACGTTGCAGTGTATTATAACCTGTGTATGATTGGTATGATTATGCTTATGTTTTTATTGGACATGACTGTACTGAGAAGATAACAACACAGAATAAACAAACTGATTAGCTAAACATTGGATGCTAGATATTGGCAATTATCATTATTGCATAAGATGTCTACAAGAGATAGTTTGAATAATCTGTGGATTTATAGTAACTCATCTGACCCTCTCATTAATCATCCATCACTTACAGGAACTCATAATGTGTACCCTGACTCACTGTCACACTCGCATTAGTAACACCAGTGCTTTACAGTGACAAGTATGAAAGGTCAATCATGACCAAAACTATAAAACTAAAACAAACGTCATAAACCAGAATTTATCTTTACTGCGGGCAAACTACAGGCAGTAAATTATTTTATAACTGCAGATCAGTATTATGGATTGTGAAGCAGTTGGAAAGAATGATTAGTGAAGCTTGACATGCGAAACCATAATGAAGTAATGTCTGTGAAATTAAAAAACATTTCTTGTCCCTATTTTCCTTCTCATTAGTCCATAATAAAGGGTCTTTAGTAAGAGAGAAGTTCTGACCTTGGTATTTGATACAGCAGAGGAGTTCATGAGAGAGGAACATCTGATATCACGCTGGAGTTCATTTCTCAGGGCAAGAGTTATCTAGATCACAGTGTGATTGCTGTTTAACCAAGACAAACTCAGAGTCTGTTTCAGATTTTCAAATTTACTTTTATCCTATAGTTTGTTTGATTTAATCTGATAATATGAGCCGAAAGTATCTAATACATAGTTGTTGTAAAGCATCAAATGTGTACAGTGTGTGTGTGTGGTCATGAAGCTCTTGCGTGTTTATTACAGGTTATAACAGTGGACTCAGCAGCATTATGAGGATATCCAGGTGGAAGTATAAACATCCTGGCACCATTTAAAACAAATATGAGCTTTTCTCCGCTCTGTTCTGTGTCAATTATACAGCAAGGCGTTTCATTTAAGGCTTTATTGCTCAACAAATGCACCAAAGGCAATCTCAGGTGAATAACTCTGCAATAAAAGGACATTTAAGTTTTTTTTTAATTATTATTATTAAGAATGAGAGAGAGCAACCTTCAGTTATAATCCCAGCTCAGTGTTTATCAGGATAAATAAATAAAAGTAAAAAATAAATAGACTATTAAATACAGTATAAAACAACAGGGGAAAAAAGAAAAGTTTGCTCTTGGATGAGGGAACTCTCAAAACGTTTGGAAAGACAGCAGAAGTAAGAGAAATCACTTTGGAGGAAGGTGATAGGAAGAAAATAAAAAAATATTCAGTTTGGTTATATGGCAAATAGTGAAATCATACAAAATGTACAGAATGTAATTGCAACCAGTAAAGCAGAAAACAAAATCCCTTATCCAAAGATGGGTCTATCAGCTACAATAGAATCAAAGATACAATTGAAAACAAAGTAAAAATTCAAGTAAAGGAAGGTGCACATCAGTAAAACAACGATTTGCAGTCATCAATTAAGAGAAGAGCACTGGGGGGGGGGGGCACTATTCACTCTCCACCACACTGAGACAAGAGACACACACAGACTCCTGCCCCCACACACACTTCTAAATCTCTTCAAATGTCTAGAAACGAGTCGAAATGCTTTACTGTCAAAGCTTAAAGAGAAATTTTCCGTTTAGTTTCATCCCCTCAACAGAAAAGATGTATAAGAAGCTTCCTTTTATAATTAACATTGAAATTGCAAAACCAAACTATTATTAAGTATGAAATCATTTCAACCACAACCAAACCCGATTTTTTTTCTTTTTTTACTGGGTGTGGGGCAAACTTCACTACCTGCCTCTTCATTACCGGCATGCTAACACATGTGCTGCACTCTAATTGAAACTTGTTGAATTTCTCACCTCAGCTGCTCTCAGACAAGCACTGAACTACGAATAATCTCCGGACATTCGCTGGAGGGGCTGTATGTGAAAAGTTTTTCCTGCCAGCCCACTATTAAAACCTTTGGATAATGTCTGAAAAACCTGATGTTAGAAAACAGCAGGAGATCCTCCAGAGGATTCACCAGTAAGAACGTCTGAGCTGAAAACCTGCTGCGTTGATCATGTGTTAAAATCAAACTCCGGAGAAAGTCCGCACCCCATTGTGAGGACATTCTCTGGAGTCTGAAAAAAGCTTCTGATACCATTCCTTTAGTTCAGGAGTTTGTGTGTGGTCACCATTTTTCTTGCAATTCTGAGACAAAAAGAAAAGAGATCATGAAATTCTTGATCCAAGTGCTACATTATAAGTTCATAATCCCAATGTTTTGTTTTTTTTTTGGTTTTTGCCCAAACACAAAGAAAAAAGGAAACAGTGAATCTGTACACAAAGAGTACCTCATATATATTCTAACATCACTTATATGATTCTAGCTTGATTATAGCTTAATTTCTGCACAGAGCCAGTAGAAGGTCCAGAAACAACACCAGGTCGGTCTGTGTTCACACACCTAACGACACTGTCTCTTTAAATGTGGGCCAACTCAAGCTCATCTCAGTCCTCCTGGCGCTCTGTCCTCATTGGTCCAATGGGAAAGGAACCAAAAAGTGCCAATTAAAGGGAGACGCCATGACATCAGCACTAACCACAGACTGAGCCGGGACTGGATTCCACTGCACCACTACTATCACACTTACTTCGCTTCCCTTGTTTGTTAGACACTGGAGGGAACAAGCTCAGGGTCTAGTCCTGTAGCTGTGGCGGTTCCCACAATTGGATTGATGATTGAAAAAAAATAGATGCATTTGCAATGAATTGTATCTGTACAGAAGAGATGGATAATAAAAATAGATATCTAAATATACAGAGTTGAATCGAGTCATCTACTGCTGTTGTGTAATTTGCTCCATTCCCATGTGGACAAGATGAAGAAATCATAAAATCAGTCTGATTCAGTCGGCCCCAGAGGATGGCCTGATATTCCTCTTGGTTTGGCCGATCCAGCGCCGTCCCTGCAGAGTCGCTCCAGCTCAGCTTAGAGTTCAAAGGGCTGCCTGCTTCAGTGCCCGATTTTAATTCCCTTCGTCGTCACGATCACACTGCAAACACGCTCAGGGTGCTCGTCTGGTCCTTTAAACCCAATATGCTGTAGGCAATTCTCTTCAAATGGCCAGGGAGCCTCACCCCAATGTTCTTAATATCCCTGTGAAAGAGAGACATGACAGTACATAAGCAGAGCTGCATGTGAATTTACAGTTTGGACTCGCTCCAACACATCCCACACACCTTCCTGTAATCACAGACAGTGTGATGAAATGCTACACAGCACACAAGCTTGATCGCTGAGCCAGGTTAGATGGGTGGGGTGTCTTCCATTTTAGTAATCTGCCATGGTTTTAATTTATATTCGCAATTAAAGGTTAATACCGAGGGTTTCACTCTTCACAAGCACATGATGCAAACCTGCAGAAGCCCTGCAACACCAAACGCCAAACCTTTAATTACAGCCTTAATTACTTAATGAGGATTCTCCCAGTTGACCATGAATCACTTGTCTGGCGAGCAGAGGGTGGGCTGTAAATAACTGCTGGTTTCTCAAGAGTGCTACCAGATGCCCCGAGATGGAAAAAATGGGGCCACGAAATCACACCCTTCTGTATGACAAATACTTCAAAAGGGTTTGTCATCTGCTTTGCAGTCTGCCCATCTTCCCAAATCATGAGCAAGACCAACGGAGCTACGTGTACCATGGTACCAGAGAAGGGGGGGTGCTCCTTTTGGCTGGTCATGCGGTTAGGAAGAGCTCTGGCACTCATTATTGCCCCAAAACAACCTTATATCATGTGCTTCACTGAACCCTTTTTTTCCAAAAGGTTGAGCCCAATTTATTAAATTGCCCGCTTAGCACTCCCACACATCTGAGAAGAACTATTTGCCTTAAACTATCCCTGTGATAGGTTCAGGGGGTACACTCTGAGTGCACCTCCTCAATCTTTCTACGAGAACAAATGTGACGACTATGTGGCTTCAAATCTCATCCATCTATTTCAGTTTCCTAATCTCCTCTAGTTGCTCCTGCTCTAAAAAGGTTATTCTCTCCTCCTCCCTCACTCCTTTAATGTTGGAGAAGCCACGAAAGGCCTTTGCCCTAAACAGCCGAACCCTGTGGTTTTTTCGGGGCTCCAGCAGAAGTGCTGCCTAGGGCAAGCGAGTGTGTGTGGGTGAAGGGAGGGATGGATGAGAGAAAGAATGGAGAGAGGAAAGAAGAATAAGGACTGCGGCAACCACAAGCCACCACCACCAGCCGACCACAAATGAGCCCACTCCTTCTCCTTCCCTCTATTGCTTTTTCCATCTCAAACATTTCTCAAGTTGTAGCTGAGGTTAGAGATCATATTGTGCACAAACTATTCTGCTGGCTGTGAAAAAGCAACATTCTTAGGAAAACAAATATATCAACTAAAGGCAAGAAGTTCATAACAGAATTCAATGTGTAGTGGGGGACAAGTAAGTTTAGTAAACACATCCACTGTATTTTAATGAAATCATGTCCCACGTACTCGTTCTTCATCTGGAGGACCTGGTCCATGGTGACGATCCCAGCGCACGTGAAGTTTTCACTGTACTGGCTCATCTTGATGGACTCCAGCCATTCAGACACCGACCTGAAGGGGGAGCCGTCCGAACCGCTGGTGCTGGGCAGGCGGATGGATACACTGCAAGCAAACAGAAGTAGATCCAAATAGTAGATCAGAATGATAATAATAAACAGGCTTTCCCACAACAAAGGCAGATGACTGGGGACTGTAATTACTGTGCAGGAAATAAGTTGGTGGAAAAAAAACCAGTTGGAGCAGTTGGGGCAGGGGCCGATTAAGATACGAACACCACAGCCTTTTGTTCTTTCGCACTGTTTCTGGCTTTAATGCTCCCTCACAATAGAGAAAATATGCATTTGTACATATGATCCCAGACAAAAGAGCTTTATGTTCACACATACGTCTTTCATTAGCCTGGCAGGCATCAGGTGTCAGTTTGTCCTTTCGATGGTTTAACTAGACCTTCTTAAAGCTATTACGCTTTTTCGCCCAAAATGACCCTCGACACGCCCGCACTGTTTTAAGGTTAAAGTAAATGGGAAACTGCTGCCAGGGCTGTTTTGAGTCTGTTTGAGCAAGTCCAGGTCAAAACTGCAGTCAGCCCACATACATTAAATCCAAGTCACTCAATAAGTTAAAGTCAAGGGGCATGTCGGGCAAGACAAGTCCAATACAAATCAAGACCAGTCCAGGTCAAGTCTCAATTTCAATTCAATAGGTTGAGTAAGGCTGCATCCATACGACTTTTTTTTCATCTGTAACAGTGTTTTCTAACTTTAATGATCTCTGTCCATGGGAGTGTCTTGACTCTGTTTCAGTTTTAATCCCCGCCCATACTAACACAGCTGAAAAAGAAAGATCATGTGACCACTTGCGTACATGTGTGGGCACTAGAATTGTCATAGACTGCTGGAATTCTAACTTGTCTCCCACACACATAATGAGGTGTATCATTGTAAAATACAGAATTTTACTTACAGTTGTTAAGACAAAAGCGTCAGCAACACTTGTAAATTATTATCCACGTTGCATTCTACACTGGTAGGAGAGGTTTATATTCAGGCTCACACTCCTTTTAGTGCAAAGGCTTAATAATTCAATACTGAATGTGTTTGATTACACAAGGCCTGTTGACACTGTATTATTATTGTGTTCCAGGATTTTCCAGGTGACAATTAATCATTTCATGAGGTTAAATCTTGACATAGACTTCAATCACATTTTTCAGGTTTTCATCTTTGCGACTGAAGTCTGACTCAGGCTGCAAACAAAATGTGGCCATCATTCACTTTACTGCTCTTTCTTTATTTTAAAGAGTTCTCTCAAAGCTGAGAAATGTCCCCTTCCTCATGGCTTTCATATCACCTACCAGAAGCAAAACCCTGAATTCTGAATTGATTGTATTGGAAACATTGTGGTTACACAGCTGTTTCCAAGAAGTGGGTGCTGATAGTGGCAGCAGTTACTGTAGCGTCAATACTGGAAAAATATGCATTTCAATATAAATCCTACCGTGGGTCAAAGTCTGCGATGGTCTTTAGGGAGTCTGGGCTCCGCAGCAGCTTGTCCAGCAGGCTGACAATGTCTCCGAAACGTGGCCTCTTGGAGCGATCCTGCAGCCAACACTGCAGCATCAGCTGGTAAACGGCTGAGGGGCAGTCCATAGGCGCCGGCAGCCTAAAGGCCTCGTTGATAGCTTTCATGACCTGCAAGCAGTTTATCATGGGGACAGATTAGATCTTCTGTCACTGATAGGGTGCTATCAGTGACAGAAGATCTCTGTTGACAGTTGGCTCTCACAGCTACAACCTCAGAGGATACTCACCTCATGGTTACTCATGTCCCAGTAAGGCCTTTCGCCAAAAGCCATGACCTCCCACATGACGATGCCAAAGCTCCACACATCACTAGCTGAGGTGAACTTCCTGTACGCTATTGCCTCTGGAGCTGTCCACCGAATGGGGATCTTGCCTCCCTGTTCAAGAAAAATGCTTCAAGTTAGAGACGGAGAAAAAATGAGTAACTCATACCCTTCACGGAAGGAGGTGACTGAGGTGGGTATTTTTACCAAGCGGGGGATATACAGTATCTACTTACACTTGTGGTGTACGTCCCCTCAGGGTCGTCTTCCAGCACACGGGACAGGCCAAAGTCTGACACTTTACACTCCAGGGTGTTGTTGACTAGGATATTGCGGGCAGCAAGGTCCCGGTGGACGTAGCTCATGTCAGAGAGGTACTTCATGCCTGCAGCAATGCCACGCAGCATGCCCACAAGCTGGAAGGAAGAAAACTCTCCATCGTGGTCCTGACAGGAGAAAACAAGCACAAATTCATTTTAGTTTGTCACCAAAACTTAAAGAAACTGAAATTTGATAGTTCAACATAAAAAGATGGATGTAAATACCATAGAGATATTTCCATCAAGAAAATGTGGACTTACCCTCAGGTACCTGTCCAGTGCTCCATTCTCCATGTATTCAGTCACGATCATGGCATGCTTAACTGCACACACACACAAAACACAACTTAATATTTGCCCAAACTAGCAGAAAATTGAGAAAAATTTGCAAAAATAAGTATAAAACCTTGCAAAACTCACAGAAATCCTTACATTTGGTGACCACCCCCTCCAATCGAATGATGTTCTGGTGGGAAAACTGGCCCATGATGGAGGCCTCGCTCAGAAAGTCCTGCCTCTGCTTCTCCGTGTAACCCGGCTTAAGTGTCTTGATAGCTACCGCCACCTCTTTCCTACCCGGCACCTTCAGAATACCACGGTACACCTCTCCAAACTCCCCTGCAGGGAAAAAAAAACACATCAGGAAAGTGATATCATTTGAATGTGCATTTGATTTGCCTTGTTAGGTTTCCAGCTGAGTGATGAGAAGGAAGTTTTGCCCTGGGCGCTCCTGCAGAGGTGTGTTCTGGCTGCGTGTTGAAAGACTGAGACTATGTTGTGTAATTGGTGGATGGCCTGTGGTGTGGGAGCATGGGAATCAGCTGTCACGTGAGAAGAAATGGGGGGGTACGCGGTCGTGGGAATCAGGGGGTGGTGGATGTTGAAAAAAGGCGGCGGGTTCAAAGGGTAAAGGTGGTCACGCTTGAATAAACGTATCACAAATGAAAGATGTGTAAAGTCCAGGAAAGTGCTCTGATATCCTTCCAAAAATACAGTTTCTGCAGCACTTTCTTTTGTGTAATTGTTCATGTCAACCTGAGCCAAAACACATAGATCCAACTGCCAAGAGTTGCAACACAACAAAATGTCTCAACTTGTTGTGCGAGAGCTGAGCCAGATAGATGATAATCTGGCTGTTAACCACTGTCACTCAGCTGCTTGAGCTGTGGAAAAGGCTCAACATAAACAGAAAACCTGGGGATTGGAAAAATCTATCATCATCTGGGAGTTAAGCCCCTCAGCGCATTGTCTCTGCAGGGTTGTCACTCACCAGCTCCAATGACTTTCTGTTTGGTTATGTGGCTGGGTTGGATTTCAGTAGCAAACTTCAGCACGGCTATGTTGGGGTCCTCGTATGTGTGTGGATCCACGTAGGTCTTCAGAGGCTTCAATTGCTCTGCGAGGAAAAGAAAGAGGATTTGATTGAAACAAATGATTAATGTAAATAAAGCAAGTAATGCGAAATAGAGAAATGACAAAACATTTTTCTCTACCTGAGCTGGAGAAGTACGTGTCCTCTGGTCCTTGTCTGGTGTGAGAGTTTCTTTTCCTGAATAAATAAATAAAACCCACGTAAGTTAATATTCCACTTAAAAAATAAATAAATTCCATATCATCTTTGATATCAATAGCACATAGCAACCTTTGTAACAGTTTTTCCAAGTCTACTAAGATCCAGACACTGGTGCAATGCGTCCATTCAGAGAGAAGCGGCCCTTTGATAAAGGCTGACGATAGACTGTGTTTGCCAAGCTGACTGAAAGACAGACAAGCAGGCGGGAGGGAGGTGGACGGACTGGCCACACACTGCTGAGTACAGGCCCAGGTCACCTTTACAAAGTGCCTGGAGTCTGCTGCAGAAAGAACCAAGCTCCTCTTATCACCGACAATGTACCACTCTGCACCAATTTCCTTTCAAAAGCCCCGACACTCACTAGAATGTAATCACTGAGCAATGACAAGGCTCATTCAACGCAAATTCTCCACCAGTGAGTGCTGGTACACTGATACAGATAAAGGGGAAGAGAAAGGTAGCTAAAGGAAGAGCGAAGGAGGGAGTGAATGCAATGGCCATTTGGCGGCCGCACAAAGGAAGGGCAGAAGAATGAGAGAGGAAGCCAGTAAATGAGAGTGTATGCCAACTGATTAACAGGACAGGGGGAGAGCAGCACTGACCGTCTGCGTAGGAACAGGACCACCACCACTACGGACAACATGGCCGCTCCTCCAACTGCTGCAGCCAAAATGACTGCTGTGTTCGGGTTAGAGTGTCCTGCAGAGGTAAACAAAGTGGAGGCGCACATCAGAGAAATCCTAACAACACCAGCAGAGCTTCTTCTACAGTGGTTCTTCCTCTGTACCTTCAGAGGAAGTTTCAAACTGTTCCTCGATGCTGGAGCCTCCAGGGCTGCCGTCGCTGCTGAGGGCCTGCACCCTGAACAGGTACGCTGTGCCGGGGGCCAGTTCGCTGATCTGTACAGAGTTCTTCTCCAGCATGTGCACGACGTAGGTAGTCACATCCAGGTTGTCACCCTGGGAGACAGAGGAAGAGTCGTCAGAGAGTTCAAGTGTTGTTGTTGAAGATGGAAGCCACACATTAAATTTTAGCATGACCCAGTTCGTGATTAGTGTCATTAGTGATCCTCAAACAGCTCTACAACATTCTCTGTTGTATATACAATATACTATCACTTTGTTTGTGTGCTGGATGTTCTATAATTCAGCTCTTTTAAAGCATCACAGCAGCCAAACAAATGTGCTGTAAGAGAAAATGATTGTATGAAACCTGCTGCCATGATAGAGTTCAGAACCAACGATACTCCATGATGATAACCATTTGTAAACATTTGTGGAATTAGTAGAGAGATGTCATATGAAAAGCTCAAACTTGAAACATTTGTAGAATAACATAATATGAACTCTTTAATTTCAACATAGAGCAGAGGAGTAAAGCAGAGTGCTGTACCTTCTTGCGATAGGTCAGTTCATAGCGGATGGGCTGAGGGTGGACCCGTGGTCGGGGTGAAACGTCCCAGGAGAGGGACAAGCTGGTGGAAGTCCTGTCAACCAGTCTCATAGTGGTTAACTTGGGAGGATCTGAAAAGAGAGTAGTGAATGCTTCAGTATCTGTGGAATGTGAAAACATCGAAAAATAGAGCAGAAATGATGATCTGTTCCTTCAGTTCTCACTCCTGCAGCACGATTCTGCCTCACAGATAGCATCTGTCATAACTGCAGCACCGATATCAAAACTCCACTGCCTCATATCAGCAGCACTCACCTGTGTAGTGCAGAAACGTAGTCAGAGCGCTGGTGGATGGTGGTCTATTAGCCTGTGGAGTCTCCTGACTAGCGGACAGCGTCACGCCACTGTGCGCCTCCACGGTGAAGGTGTAGTTGAGGTGAGCATCCAGTTCGCTCACTGAAACCTTGGTGTCAGTCAGGCCCACGCTGGTGGGCTCATAGCGGATTTTCTCTCCGCAGGGCTGGCACACTATGCCCTCGCAGCGTTGGCATTCGACGCTGTAGGTGATGTCAGTTCGCCCACCGGTGTCTTCTGGTGGAGTCCAAGAGAGGAGGAGTTTTCCTGCTGAGAGCTGGGTGGTGGTGGCCATGAGGTCCCGCGGGGCAGAGGGAAGACCTGATTGAAAAAGATATCAAGAGGAGAACCACGGAAAAATAAGGGTTGTTCCTTTTTCACACGACATTAGAAAGTCTAAATAAGCATAAAGGAAGTCAAACCATCATGAGGTTAAAACCTTTAAACCGTTTACTAATATTTGCAGGGAATACAAGTGCAACAAGAATAGAATATTTAACCCCTGCTCATCCTACAAGTCAAACAAAAGTCACTTCCTGTGCCAAATTTCTGTATTTACAATGTGACACCCCGATAACACATGGCTTTTGTCTGCAATGGGAATGGATTCAATTGGAATTTGCTCCTGGTTCAAATGAGTATTCGGTAGACACGTGTTTTATTAAGCTCCAATTAGCAGTGATGGAAATGTGTCAACCGGATGAATGCGCCAATTTGGCATGGCAGCACGGTGAAAGAGCGCCTCCGTTTTCAGTGCATTTGTGATTTGTGAGGAGGCACGGGAAAAAACAGAACTCCTCAACTGGAAATGAGAAATGAGTCTGTCGCCTTTTTAGTGGGTTTAATTTTGTTTAAAAAACCTGAATATAACATCTATGTTTTCTTAACACAAGCTTCTCATACAAGATCAATGGGTCTCATTACCTGAGCAGGGTCCAGTTGGGGGATCAGATGGGGCTCTGTAGAATCCATCCTTGCAGGGACATAACAAAGCCCCGGAGTCGAGCCTCTGTGTGTTGGCAGGACAAGGCTCACACTTGACACTGAGAGCATCAGCTTTGAAGAAGCCAGGCCGACATTCTGCAAAAACAAGAAAAAGACATTTACATAAGCAGGAGAACAAGCGTGAAGTCAACAGTGACTTAAGGCAACATCCTGTGTGATGCAGCACATGGGCAGTTCATTCAAGTAAGAAAGATCGCGCTGGTGTGAACTCTTCACCTTGTGAGCAGGACAACAAGGTTGAGTGGATATGTTATTATGTCAAGGCCAAAGGTCAGATTTGGACATGTCACAGCGATACGGGAGGGAAAACAGAGGCAAGGCTCTGCACAGTGTTGACTCTACTCTTTAAAATACTGTCCATTGAGCTAAGACACCACTCACATGAGCCCAGCCCTGAATCAAAAACACATACTCGCCGGCACTCCTACTTTTTACTTTTTTAACCTACAACTCATCTCTGCTGTTGCTTATGACTGTCTCTCTCTTTCAACAAACACGACCAGTCGTCCCACATTCCACAGCAGCAAGTCAGTCTTCAAAAATAAAGGCAACCAAACTCAAAGAAAGTCCAAGAATTATCAGAGAAGCAGCTTTATGCACTCAACAGGTCAGTGCATTTTTTTTTCTTCAGACCCCCACATGCAGACTTTTGAAACTGTATCGCTGAGATAGGATGACATCTAATTTCACACGTCCAACACAGGATAAAGAAATGCAGGTAGAGGATCCAGCTGTGTGTAGCAGTGGTGAAATCTGAACTTAATACGGTGTGAAATTTCTGAGAGGGCGCGCCATAAAGGAGAGTGAAAATGAGACGGCCCCTGCTTTAAGTCTGCAAGAGCATTCCAACGGCTGCTGCTCATGTCCTCACACCATCACACATTCATACACATACACACACACTCATGTGTGCACTGCAGACATGCAGGCACGAGCATATGTAGGCACAAAATACACATACATGTATGCAAAGCACACCCATGGACATATGGTTAAATCAGAAGACGGATTATGTCCACTGCCTGTCACCTGTTCGTGTCCCTCTTCCATGTCGATTCAGCCCAGCACACACACACATATACATATACGGTATGCATACATCTTCCCTTCCGTCCCTCCGAGTCATTTGCCTGCAGTGTTTGAATAGCTCATGACAGATGTTGTAGATGTTGACAATGGCAACGAGAAACAGAATTTAGGTGCAAGGCAGAGAAAAGAGAGAAAAGAATGAAAGAATGCAAGTGAAGATGTTCACGACACATGAGTGATTAGAGTAGGCAGGAGGAGGACATGATATGCTATTGAAATGAAGCGTGCAAAGCCAGAGACTCAAGTTGGTGCCAGTGACCAGAGGAAGCAACGAAACATAAAGTCAAAAGCGAACACAGAGTTTTAATGTCAGATTCCAGCTGAGGAGAGGAGACGGAGGAGATTTAAGAAGTGGAGCCAAGGACGAAGATAATATCAGATTCACTCAGAGATACTGTCTTGGTCTATGGCTGCGTTTCAATGCACTTCAGCTGAATGAAGTTAGTTCTGGAAGCCTCCAGTGACCACACACACAAGACACAAAGCATACGGCTCCCACTCCATTTAAGTCATATCAAGGGGATTTACTCGACTGACCATGAGGTTCACTTCGCCTGCGATCAGCTTTTTTTCTATCACTGTGGCTGAGCTGTGGCGGAGCTGCTGTGAAGAGTTGTGCATTAACTGAGGAGCATGACAACAATGGTGGAGAGAAAACACACTCAGCATGTGAAGAATTTGTAAGTTTGTCCAATAGGCTCGCATGTTGCTTAATCCTCCCCTTCAAGACAACATCTTTTCTCTTTCTCTGCCAGCTGTTTCACTAAAAACTACTGCTACTCATTAACGCACATGAGGCCGAGGATGGGCAGGGCAGAGGAGAGGTGGTGTGAGGGGACAGAAGGTTCAAGAAAGAAATACAGGAATACTGTATCCTGCTGGGGGCTGAAGAAAAGACGAGAGGAAGAAAAGAGACAGGCTAGGGTGAACTCCTCCATTGAGAAGGGGGAACAGCTGCTGCCTCAAACCCAGATTCATACCCCGACCTCTCCTCCTCGTAATCCCCAAATTCCTTCCTCCCCTCCTTTCTCTCCTCCCAGTCCTCACTAAAAAGGCTCCCAGCTAACCCATTAACATTGCTATTCACCACTGACCAGCAGGCAAGGAGAATGCCACGCCATTCAAGTGCTGAAAGAAAAAACATACACACACACAAGCATTGCAGATGGGAATAACCAAGATGCCACATGGCAACTGAATAGAGGAGGACTAGCCTCTTTTTGGCGCTACAGTGCCGGCTGCAATGCATCGTGGTCAGGCCTGCGGAGATGATGGCCTTACACTGCGAGCTGCCTCTATAATCAAGATGCATTCCAGTGCACACCACCCAACAGGAGGCCTGTCGCAGAGCGGCTCCAGTGCAGCTTCTTTTTCAGCCTGCTGCTCTGTCGTTAAGGTGAATAAGTTTGTATATCTCTAATACGTGAGTCACAGGGACAGTAAATTCAATCAGATGACTCTCTTCCGAGGTATTTAACAGGAGGGTTCTTCGACAAAGGAGCAAAGACCAGTGAAAGGAAAACTTCCTGGTTCCATGGGCAAGGTGGAGGGGGACTTGTTGAATTGTTGCTGGACACAACAGGAAGCAGGAAGCGTGAGGCTGACGCAGCCTTCCTTCCTAAAGCAGCCAATCAAAGCATGGAAACACAGGGGAGCGTGACCAAGAGAAGAACCAGCGCTTAGACTACCAGAGTCCTGCGACAGAATAATAACCTAAAAGGAAGCCAAAACGTGTTGACCCAACATGAACGAGGGCTTTAAACCTGGGAGGGCGGGCTGTTCTGAGATGAACGCTTTCCCTCTCATAAACAAATGTCTCTCAGCCTCTTTTAAGTCGAGACATCTCACAAACATAGACCAGCCACTTTTTCCCTCCCTACTGCTACAAAGCAAGGAATTGTTTGTCATTTGAGAGGCCCCTGTGCACCTTGAGTGGCTCTGTGTTTGTTTATTGAGAGTGTATGCAGGGGCCTGTTACATTCTGGGAGCCTGAGTGGCTCTGGAGTGGGAGCACCCAAGGGCCCCCCTGGTTTGTCGGCAGGAGTTAAGATGGATGAGATGGCGACAGTGATGAATGCACGGTCGGATAGATGGATGAATGGGTAACATGGGGGCTTGACAACAGAAATCGGCCTCAGGACTGGAAGGGTAAGTGGCATAGGGGGCCCCTCCACAATCAAGTCCGGCGCTGGGCTTCTAAGAGACAGAAAGGTCATGTCTGCCTCAGGGTAGTTGTGAGTTAAACTGTGCATGGCTTACAGGGAGTCAGTGGCCAAGTAAAACAAACACATGCTCGCAGTGATGAGGAGGAGGAAGAAAGAGTTGCAGCAGCAGCAGCCGGTGGCCTGTCTCCATGGGAAGGAGGTTAAATTCAGAAGTATGGCCAGTGAACAATAAAAACATGTTGGAAAAATAAATCCATACAAAATACAGACAATATCTTGATCGTTATCAGTGCAGCTCCACAAATATATTCTGGAGGAGAGCGAGTCCTTTCTTCGTCTGCAGCCTCAACTGCTTCACCTCTACTCCCCATCCCCCAATTGTCTTCCCCGAGGTGCTCAGACCCGTAATTGCAATATGTCATGTCATTTTGTTTGTATGCACGGTGACAACGTGTCATTAGCATTTTGGGGGAGTCGGATGGTCTGTGGAACAAAGGGGGTCTCTGATGGGGGAGGTGAGCCAGTAACATGAGCCAGGGGTCACTGAGGTAGAGAGGAGGGGAGGAGGGGAGGATGTGAGGGGTGGGCAGCAAAGGTGTAGGGGCTGATGAAAGTGTGCGCATGTGGGGGGATTGCGAGGGACATTAGTCAAAAGGATTAGCTGGCCAATGGAGCAGCTGTAAGGGCATTACATCTGTTTTACAATTGCACTCAGGCTTTCATCTGGGGTTGTTAACAAACGTAATAAATTCCCTGAATCCCCCCTTCTCCTTTCACTCGCTCTGTCCACTCAGGCCCACAGACAGAAGATGAATACTAGGACTGAAGAGTGGAGTCAAGGAGGCACGCTCAAAAATAAAGTGAAATAAAGCAGAGGCACTGAGGAAACAAATCCTGGCTGACATGAAAGTCACAGACTGTTTCCAGAGTTTCCTCAGCTGCACCACAGCCATGGTCATTTGGTCACGTTTCTCCGTGTTGCTGGTCAAATCCAGACAGCCAGGTGGGAAACACAACACCAGTTTAACTGCACTGCTCTGAGCCAACAGGTCCCACACTGGAAGCCAGTCCACTTCCTGGCTAGGGGAAGGGTACAAAACAGGACCAAATGCACTAATAAACGAAATGACTTATCAGGCTGGACAACAAAATGGAAAGTGGCTGAGCGATGCCGCTGAGTGCTGAGCGACAATGGAAAGCCCTGAGCCAACGGGTTGGGGAGTCACCGAGGGATTAGGTGACCTCCGGTTTCCGCTGCCGGCTCGTCCTGTTAGCAGTGAAGGCTGGGTGGGTTGGTGGGGGGTGTTACTGACTGACATGGTGGAAGGAAAGTGCTGACCTCACACACCAGCAGTACAATACAATGCGCTTAACATTGCTCTGGACCACCCCCCCTTCCACCACCACCACAACACACACACACACACACACACACACAGATACACACAACCTCCAGGCTCAGGAATGTCATCAAGAGGAAATATGTCCCAACTTCCCCACCACAACCAACACTCATGCTGAACAGCCGAGAATGGCTGAAGCTCGGTTATGTGACTAATGGCAGATATTTAGAATGGAATCAGGAGACTGTACTTGAACTCAAACAAAAAGAAACAACAGCTCCCTTCAGCTCCACAGACATTTGTGCCTCTTTAACTCAATGTTTTGGTTTTTAGCACACAAACTCTGCTTTCATGAAAAAAACTGTGGCTACACTAGCCTGATAATCATCTGGCACCATCACAGTATGGTGGCAGTCAAACCCTTCCTTAAAGAAGAGTGAATATTCAGCTTAAAGAACCACAGTGTGAAGGATTTAGG